GGTGCCGCTGTGCCGGGCAGCGCCGTCGGGGGCAGCCCCCAGGGCTCCCGTGGGGACGGTCCCCTGCGCCGTGTGCGTCCCCTCCGGCCTCTGCGCCTGCGGCCCTCCTGGGCACGGTCCGCGTCGGGTCGGGCGGGGGACGCCGCGTCCTGCCCTCCTTGCGCGAGGGGAGCAGCGCGGGACGCGCGGGCCGCTCTGCCCCGCCGCCGCTGCGCTCGGGCGCGGCTCAGCCCCGCGCAGCAGGTCGCTGTTCAGCTGCGGCGCGGCTCCGCGGCGGATCCGCGCGGAAATGTCCCCAGGGAGAAGGTGCCGCTGCTGCGAGGCCGCTCCGGCAGGCGCCGCGCGGCGGGACGGACTCGCCGTCGCCGCCGCTCCCCTTGCCCCGGGCCCCGGGGACTCCTGGCTGCCCGGGAGGCGAGGGAAGGGGCGCTGGGGGTTGCGCCGAGCCCGGCTGCCCGGCCCGGGCCGGGGGGGCGCGGGGGGCAGCGCGGGGGAGCAGCGCTGAATGCGGCGCCGTGGGGCTTGCGGAGCAGCTCAGCTGTGCCTTGCAGCAGCCAAGCCTTATCTATTGTTTGAGGTTATGACAAATAAATCCCATTCTTGCACACACACCCTTCCCTTTCACCTCAGTACAAAGGGGATGTGTATTAGGGACAGATGGTGACACTTGACTATGCTGCCAGGGTAGCAAACACCAGAGAAGAAAGAGGAGGGATGAAACAACGAAAAGCCAAAGACAAGGACTGTGGCTTCCCCATCATCCTGAAGGGAAGCAGAGGCTTTTTCAGCTTTTTTTTTTTTTTTTTTTCCCTCAAGAGTTAGGTAAGGGTACCTGCGTGCTTGTCACAGACAAGCAGTGTGTCTGAAAATAGGATTTATAACTAGCAACCTTTAATTCAATACCTCAATTACTAGGAAACAACCCCTCACTGAAAGAATGAAAATGAAAAATCCACAACATTAATTCCTAAAAGCATCCATATCCTTTTATTATTATTACTTCTTTTTTTGAAACCACACATATATGTGATATTAAAAGATGTAGATTAACGGTCCTCTGATACTCAGAAAGTTGGATGCAAGAAGCAAACACTGGACTGCTCAGGAAGTTTATATCTCTTTCCAACTCATTCAAGCAGGCAGAAAACAAAAGTGGCCATCACTAATGCAAAGCTCTGTGCTTCAGCTTTTTTGTCTTGTACTGTGGCTTTAGTAAGTATCCATGTATGGACAGGTCTAAAGCTAAATGGGTCTGACAGCTTGTACTTAAATGTCAGAAAAAATAATGGGTTAAGAAAGATTGTTTTTTTTTCATTTAACAAGGATTTGAGCCTAATTTTAAAGGTGTTTAGCACACTTACACAACCTGCACTAACCTTTGGGAATAGTGATGGTGTGGCTTTAGAGACAAGAGTTGGGAAGACTGTGGGGTTTTTGTTGTTTTTTGGGGGGAGGGGAGGGTTTTTTTGATTTTTTCTTTTTTTTGCTACTAAAATGAAAATCTACTGCAGTAAATTTTCATTGACTTCTCTAGGATTTCACCCTAGATGTAATCATGTATAATGTAACAGCAACAGTCACTATTATGCACATGCTGTGAGTTTAGAAGAGTTATAAGCATTTGTGATTCATGATATAATTAAGAGCATTTGGAAAAAGCTTTCCATAGGGAAAGGTTATTCTATATTTATCCTCCCTGCAGGCATTTTATCTTCCTTTGAAACACCTGGAATTAGACAGTCTTAAAGACAAGGCACTGGATTAGTAGTCTGTACTTCCAGTTGTTTCCATGTTCCTGAAGTCATTAATAGAGCGAGACAGATTCTTTTCTAGTTCATTCATACATGCTATTGAAATACAGTATTACGAAGACCAAAAATATTTGATAAATAACTTCTTTCTTCCTAACTCTGATTCCCTTGTATCAAGCAGCCAACTCCTGCTGCATGTGAGGAGAGTTCCTAATGCAGAAGAGTATTTTCCTTCAAAGCACTACACATTCATCCATAAAATGATAAATTGCCTTTGAATTAACGTAGATGTAAACTGCTGGAGATCTGGCACGGGCTGCAGAGGCAGCGGAGCAGCAGTGTGGCTGTTGCTGACTACAGCAGCCACGAGCCGCCGAGCACCCTGACGGCTGAGGGCAAGGTTGAGCACAGCCGGACGAGAAGTCCGTCCGAGCTTTTGGGATGCCGGATGCCACCTAGAGGATTATCCTCGCTGCTGTACACTCGGCTGCTTTTCCTCAAAACAGAGCTCTTGCCCTCCTTGAGAGGCACTGCGTAACAGTGCAGGGCTGGGAGCCCCAGAAAGGAGCTCCGGGTGATTGTGCCAGGGCTGTTCTGCCCCCACCAGGGAGGTCTCCCGTGGCTGCACAGCGTTTGGGAGCCATCAACCTTTGCTGAAGCAAACTGCCCCCACCACATGGAAACCCACATATGTGTCACAAGGGCAACCGAGAGCTGGCAGCTTCGGTTAAGCTGCCTTAATTTCTCCTGGCGCTAGGCCATGCATTTGTGGGTCACTCTTGCAGTACTACAAAGGGTAAGGAATAGGTTTTAAACAGATGCAGCAGCCTGTCTGTCTGTATGGTCCTCTGCTCTTCAGGTGATTTTCTGACCTCAGCACTTAGACTGAGGAGGTGGTCACATCACCTGGGTTTGTGCCAACACTTCCCCATGGCTGGCAAGAGCTATAGAGTGACATTTCCAAGATTAGGCGGGAATGATTGCTCAGACACCGCTTGTCCTCTTTTGCAGGGATACGACCCTGACATCTATATCAAGCTTTTCCAGGAATTACAGACCTGAGGCAGGAATTATCGAGTGAGCATATTCGGTACTTTTTCTGCCCCTCTGGCCTATAAAATCTGTAAATTGACTGGTTTCTTTTAGTCTTGCCCTGTCTCCATTTTACCTCCTCGGAGAGGGTACACACTCTGTCTATTTTGTCCTAGGGCTGGCCTAATAAATGGGAAGTTCAGCTACTGGTAATGGAGTGAGGTATGCCCTTATAGGAAGCAGGACCTATTTGTCTGTTTTTTGGTCTGTGATTGAAACCATTTATTTTTTGGAATGAAAACTGCAGTCAAGAATCAGTAATAGATCAGATCATCTTTAGTCACTAACTTTACTGACACTATAAAAGAGGTTTTAAGAATAATCAGTGAAGTGATACCATGTCCACTTTAAAATTTTATCTTCTAAACAGTTCCATATTTTTATGATTGTCCTCATTTTCTTTGTCTTTAAAGTCCTTCTTTTCATTCCCCTCCCCACCATGTTTTAAGGTGATACTCATGCCTGTTTTCCAAGTTCCATCTCTGTGCTTCCGGTCTTTTTCTGTGCTTTTTACTACTGCAACTTCTAGGTGTCTGAGTCCTGCTTCAAGGCTTCCTACTGTAGGCAGTGTGAACAAAGCACAACAAAAAAAACCCAGACCCTACCTCAAGGAACATTGTCCATTTCCTTGTGTGTCTCTAAGCCCTTAGAACAAGCCCTTATTTAGTACATGGTGAAATAAGGATACCCTACAGAGTATGAGATGCCCATTACGGTGAGCTTGCAAAGGGTAGCTGATGGTCTTTCTGTCCCTGGCAGGGAAGCGCTGCTGTGTACACTCGCTGGAGAGAGGCAAAGGGGTGAAAAGATGGAGTGGAGGCCGGGAAAAAAGACCCATGCACAGAGGAACCTCTTTGGCCCCGTAGACCATGAGCAGCTGCAGCAGGATTTCCAGCACATGCTGCACAGCAGTATCGAGGGAGCTCGGCAGAAGTGGAATTTCGATTTCCTCCAGGACACGCCAGCCGAGGGGCTTCTGCAATGGGAAGAGCTGGAGGGCCACCAGGTGCCTGCCTTCTACCACAGCTGCGTGGTGGGGGAGACTCAGAGACCTCTGCAGCGCTTGAACTGGCCCCTGGGCTGGGAGGACAAGATTCCGCACTTTGTCCAGGTGACACTGACTGAGAAATCCAAATCTTCAAAGAAAACAGGGGGCAAGAGGAGCCCAGAAGGGAAAAAACGAAGACAGACATCTCTGACAGGTGTGTGAGACCTTTGTATGGCGCAGGTGGTACAAGCTGGTCCTACCAGCTCCTTTAAAATTCTTCTATAGGGCCATAGACCCAGCCTTGTTTTAATAATAATAATAATAATAGTAATAGTAATAGTAATAATAATAATAATAATAATAATAATAATAATAATAAAAGGATCTTTTTCCTCAGAAAAGGATATGAAAGAAAGAATGCAAAGTCTTAATTGAGGGACTTAGGTCTTTTTCGAAGGTGCTGTTCCACAACCTCCCTGCATTCCTGGGTGAGTTGTTGAGGCCTTGTCAGCATCAGAACAAATAAGATAATGAACACTTCTTACAAGAGGATGGTTAGGCTGGTTACAACGGTTAGACATTTTAAAAGTCACTCTAAGAAAAGCAGTGAGAAAATTACCGGAGCAAGAACCCAACAGAAAGCAGGGTTACCCATTGGCTGGGAGCTTGTTTGATTATAGTTTCCAGAGGGCAGTGAGGAGTATAGCTGGCTCAACTGAGCTCTAGGAGGAACACCAGCAACCAGAGAAAGCAGCCAGTTCTCCTGCTAACTTCAGCCTGGATTTTATGCTCAGTGAAGGCATCCAGGAATTTTAAGGGCAGATCAATCTTAAACTTGGCCAGGAGACAGAAAGAGGCTAGGTTTTAAAATGTTTCTCACCAGGACTTGCTGCCAGATGCACAAAGGAATGGATTTCTTGTTTCAGCACCCATAAAAGAGTTTCAAGTTTTTAAAAGTCCTCAGCATCCTGCATGCTAAGCTGTTCTGAGAATCTGGCCCCTCATTTTGTCTTCCCAGTAGGATTTGAGCTTATTTGAAAAATCTGATCCAGTAGATTAGATTTCTCTTCTCCTTACTGGGATTTTAGTTTATTCTGGACTGGGGTTTTCAAGACATAGACAAAAGATTTTCTTTGGGGAATTCAATGTGAGACACCAGCTCAAAATTGCTTGGAAGATAATTGAAGCTAAGGTTTCAGGAAACATTTTCTGAATAGTGATGTTGATCTCAGTAAGTCAGACAATAGAATAATTTTCTATTTGAGGGTATGAAACTTAATTGCTAGAGAGAGGTTCAGGAAGAGGTTGGAGATTAATGAAGACTGGAACATTGTACAGTGGAGTGCAGAACAATGATATTTAATGAGTGCACTTTTCTTTTCCAAAGCACTTTACAGCCATTAACTAATTAACAGTATAATTTACAGGTAGGAGTACAGAAGTGTAATTCAGAGCACAATGTTGTGATGGTTTGAGGGAACTGATGTTCAATTGTAAATCTCTCACTAGATGTGTGGGAGTAAATTATGTAGATATTTCCAGGGGATATTTTTCTTCCGTTCTGTTTTCCCCAGGCAAGATGCATTTCAACAGGGGATGTGGAAACCAAAATACCACACTGCACAGTTTAACACTTTCCCATATGTTTTCATAAGAGAAAACTCTTTAGTCTAACACTACCCTTCTCCCCAAGGAATCTGAGTGTAACAGGATGGGCCAGGAAAATCATTTGCAGTCCTTTTCTTTGGTGATGCTTGGATATCAGGGCTTCGCTTCCTCTTTCTCCCAGAAACACGCATGCTAGACTATAGCATCAGTTGCACGCATGCTAGCATCAGAAACACGCATGCTAGACTATAGCATCAGTTGCATAGCTAGGCAATAAGGAGACTACATGGCATGTAGTCTCCTTATTGCCAGCTGAACAATTTATCAAAAGTTTCTTTCTGGCTGCAGAAACTTTGTTTCTCTGGACAAGACTACAGTAATTCAGGCAAAACCAAAGGCAGGATGTTATGACAAAGTGATAGCTATTGATAAAACTTGACCTCACTTTTTAGTCCATTTGCCCAACTTCTGCCATCCCAGAATGAAAGGTTAATTTAGGATCAGGTTCTCCAATTGGATTTGAACAGTTATCTGCATCTACCTTTGGTCAAGGGGAACACTGTAATGCTTTACATTAAGATCCAACAATGTGCATTTAATTTAAACTTTAAAAGACAGCTGTGGCCCATTAAATAAATATCAACGTATTAAAAACCATCCATGGGATTTTGTGGACGTTGGCGCCTCCAGAATGGAAGGAATAAAGGTTTTCTTGCCATTTTTGACTCCTCAGACATGTAGAGAAATAACTACTATGGAAGTGTATTCTTCTTTCTCCCAAACCTTTTATGTGCAAATATTTTATCTTCATTCATCTTCCTCAGTGTAGTTCCAGTGTGTTTCTGCTCTGCTGTCTGTCTGGGATAGCTCCAAGTTCAAAAAGCAGCTCAGCTACAGGTCCTTTTGGCTGGTTGGTTGATATGTTTGTTTGCTTTTTCATTTTTGTTCTTTTGTTGTTGTTGTTCTTTTGTTTATTTGTTTTTTGAAAGCTGGGTTTGTCTAACCAGGTTGGGCAACCATACTGGCTGTCTGCTGCTCTTCTTTTCCAAATCTGTTGGCTTGTCTCAGTCTGATACACTTGGACCTTGTAGGGTCACACAGCTTTCCAGGAAGGTGACCGTAAATCCTTGCCTCATTTGCTTAATGTCAAAGGAGAGGGAATTGGCAACAATTCTATGTTTTCACTTGCTGGTCTTCCTTCTGAAGCATATAGTCCTGAAACCCCAATTTCTGCAAGATAAGTGGGAGAAAACAAGGGAGAAATAAAAGCAGGTGTTCAGTTAGGTATATTTCCCTCATAAGTCCCCGTGCCCAGGATTTCCTTCTGAACTGGCTGCAACTGCTTAGTACTTCACTTTTCCAACTGATGTGCTTTTTAGAATCCCTCAAAAGAATCAGCCTATTTTCATGGACAGGTCTGGGGATCTACATCCCCCTGGCTTTTAAGTGCCTCCATCAATCCTGAAATGAGGCTCAGGTAATAAGTATGCAAGTGTCTAAGCAGTTTAGCTCTGGCTGAAATTCTTCACTGGATGAAATGGGAATAATGACTATTTAAGACTCTTATGAATTTTATCCACTAGGCATAACCCACTATGCATTTCTTTGCCCAAAATGCAATGGAAGATAGCTTTGTAGAAGTCTTTGTTCTAGAAAAAAACAGCAGACGTAAGGATTACATTTAGTAACGTAGGCTTTTTATTCTTACTGTTATTCCTCTCCTCTGCAGTCCCACTGAGAGACTGCAGTAGGTTGTAATAATAGCAGGACTGGCTTTTCTACTGAGCTAGCAGTGCATGCTCTTGCCTGTGAGAACACACTCTCCTTGGGATCAAGTCTCGCTCCATAAGTTAACTTACTCAGGACTAGATCCAGTACGGCTGTGCTCCGTTGCACTGTGCCATGTAGACATATCTTTAAGGAAATTGGCTCCAGGAATCACTCTGCACAAACTTGGCTGCGAAGACTGTTGAGTTCCAGCCATCCTGCCAGTAATATTCTGTGCTGAAATTAATACAAGGCTTTATGCTGCTGGGACTCAATATATGTTGCCAATTTGATTATATAGGAAGCTTAAATTTAAATATTATGAAGCTTGGATCCTCAATTGGTTTAAGTCAGAATAGCTTTGTTAGTACGAGCACAAACAATTTACAACAGGTAAATACCATTAACTCTAAAGGTAAACAAGCATTTAGCTTCCATTTCAGCAAGCTTTGACCTGTTTACCTGGAAAAAAAAAGTTTGTTTCATTTTGTTTTGTTTTTGTGCTGTGAAGACAGAGAAGCAACTCCTAGGTGTTTGCTATAATTATGTTTCTGTAGTTTAGAAGGATTTAAGTTTGTACTTAAAGCAAGAATTTAGCCGTATATATATATATATGTATATATATATGAAAAAGTTCCATTCTTGATCTATGATGCATACTGTTTGTGTGGATAATTAGGTTACAATTCAGTGATATAGTACGATTTCATGACATCATCCAGGAATCTGCATTTGACCTAATAAGTAGAAATAAAATGCCACATAAATACAGTTCTTCTGATGTTATTTTACAGTCAGTATGCTTTGTTATTTTTAAGGAGGAGAAACAACTGTTCCTGACAGGAAAGCACTGAAGCAGTGGCTCTAAAAGTTGGAGTAAAATGTCACATTGCTAAGCTTGCATAAGAGGGTCCAAAGTCCTTTGATCTGAACTGGACAAAAGCCAGCACATTTCCTTTGTTTTACTTGGTATTGCAAAGCTTTCTATGGAACATACTAAAGGTATTAGTTTTGTTCCTTCACAAACCTTAGAGAAGTCCAAATGACTTCTTTGAAAAAAAAAAAAAAAAAAAAAAAAACAAGATTTGAGGGATTTCTTTAAAGCAGTCATTATTGGTGCTGCAATTTTAATTCCCTGTGTCTTTGGTTGCTCCACAGATTACTACTCAGCAAAGAAGCGAGTCAAAACAAATATGCAAGCTGCTGCAAAGAAGTCAGCTCCTTGAACGTGAGCGTAGAATTGTTCTGCACTGGGGAGCTCAGAGACGTCTGCCAAGTTGCCTCGACACTCAGAAACCACGTGCACAAGCTGTGGACACTTAGGGGCGTCACTCAGAAAGATACTCATGGCAGCAGCAATGAAAAGTTTTCTGGGCACAGAAAAACTTTCATTGGAATGGGGTCATTGGAATCAACTGGAATCATTTGGATGGGAAATGGCTAGGCCTAAAAACTGGTGGGCAAGCTGGAGTGCTGCACCGAAGGCTAACAGTGTGACATGCATCAAAAATAACTCTACAGGAGAAAGTGGTGAACAGTTGTAGCTGTATATGTGTAATAATGTGCTTGGACTTGTCTGTGTCGGGGGGGTCTTTTGTTTTTCTGCCTTTTCACAGCCTTTCTCTTGTTTCTACCAGTGAATGCTGCAAGTTTTCACCATCTCAGATTTACAGGTCTGACATACACAAAGGGTCCCAATTCACCCATGATGTTTTTCAGGCATATAATATATGCCTGTTTTCTTGCTTGCAGCTATTTGGGGCGTAAACAACAGAATTTGGATGCCAAATGTATATATATGTGGTTGGGGTGGAAATGGAGAAAACTAATATTTTTCTTGGGAAAGTTTCCATTTATATCAACAGTCATTTAGCCCTGTATGTCTGCCCTCCTAGATCCATCCAAGAATTAGGTAGTTAATCTTAATTAATAAGGGTGGAAATTTGCTGGCATATTTTTGTGTCTTTGAAGTCCAGTTCTTATCAGTTGGGCCAAATTCACCCTTCATGTTTAGTCATGCTCTTCCATCTATGTCAGTGAGTTCACATGGTGAAAATTAAGACAAAATGGGCTGTGCATTTGTCCACAGTCTGCTGTCTGCCAGAACATGCTAAGAATGAGGGAAACAGTTACTATGTTGTGCTTTTATCCATATTGATAGTATTTCTGTGAAAAGATAAAGGGCATTAACAACACTGAAATTTCCATTGCTCTTGGTGTTGCATGGACTGTTTTTTCTAGGGCACTTGGTAAGGTATCCTTTTTCCACCACCTCCTTTCCATTTCCCTTCCATATTACCCTGACTAGTTTGCATAATTGAGGTTTTACAGCACATAATAATCAGTGGGTAAAGCAGAAAATGAAACCTATAAAATATACACTCTAAATTATACTGCTGCATATGGCCTGAAGATGCAGATTTAATGAACACATTTGGAAAGACCTCTGCAAATGTGAGCATTTTAGAACTTCATACCATGATGGAACATTGTTTTTTTGTCTCAAATCTATCCAGGCTAAGGCTTTTCTTGAGTAATAAAAATTAATGTGCACACGCATGTGTGTCAGCTGTACACATGAGACACATGAGATGTGGTTTAAGGAAGCAGTACACTCCATTATATGCAACATCAGTATGGTTTAGTCTTCCCCGACCCCCCCAATAGGAAAGCTAGAGTGCTTAGATGTAAATGATAGATAGTTTGCACCAAGGGGCAGGATGCAGTCATTTCAGCCCTTTCTCTATATACTGCGATAAAGGTGCTCAGCAAAATGCAGAGTCAGGACCTTTTTTCCAGCCGCATAGAGAAGTGACCCATGAGATACGTTTTTTTCTTTTAAAATTTTGATTTAGTAAGGAACTGTGGAAACAAAACTTGCCACAGCTGATAGCAGAGGGAGTTTTATCCAAATGAAGCAGGAGGAGGGCCTGACTAGGTGACAAGTGCTGCTAGCAGTGCATACAGTGTGGTTAGGGGACAGGCCCTACAAGCTTTTTAGCAAGCTGAGATGTAGCATACAGGTGTAGGGTTGGGCTTTTTGTATGTCTGGTTGTTTTTGATTTTACCTTTGCTTGTCTCTAGAACAGACCAAGGTACATCTTTTTTTGTTCATGTGCGGTTTTTTGTAATTCAGAAAAATATCACAGCTGTTGCTCCATGTGTCTGTGATTTTAAATCAGACCAGGGACACTGTGCATCTTTGTTTTGTAAAAATGTTTTTTAGCGTTACTTTCTGACCAAGATGACATGAACTCTGCAAAAAAGCGTACAAGTGTGCCTTGCACAAGGTCACTGTGAAGCTCAGAGTCTCTCTTTTTCTTTTATTTTTCCCAAGGGGAAAATGGATGCTTCTTTTTACTAGCAAAAATTAATGACTATTGATGCACTGCTATGCCAGTGAACCAGGAAATCTATTTTGGAACCAATGTGAAAAAAAATCCTAGCAGCTTATACATATGTTTAAAAGTACATATTTGCTTTAAATGCTTTGTGATCAGGGCACTAGCATGTCCTGGGAATTCGTAAAACCATTATTTAAGCTATTAACAAATTAAACATCACATTTTTTGATTCCCAGTGCAGATATGAGCTCTGTAGTGGAATTTCAATATATTCAGAGTAAAAGGTCAAGACCACAGTTTAGAATTAGATCTGTTGTTGTTGAGGTCTTGCTTGTGGCTGTTATTTCTGTGCTATGGTGAAAGAAGAATTGTCTGCTGATTAGACAGAGTGATGTCTTTGCCGACTACAGATTTGTTAATATTTCTTGGAATGACTCAATACTGGAAATGGAGATGGAAAGTGGGGAGGGGAGAGAGATAATGTTTTCATGCTGTGTTTACAATTGGAAGATTCTTATACTTTTACCATGTATACGCATCCCTCTCCAGTATACATCATTGCAGCTCTGCAGTCCTGTAGGGAATCTGCTTGGGTTTTCATTGAAGGAGAATTGCAACCGAAGTGTTTTGCACTAGTCTGTTACTTTATGGAATAAAGTTACAAGCAGCTGCGTTGCCTACCATTGCCTACCTTCGGCATTCACACATTTTGAAAGGCAAAGAAAAATGGTTTCTGCAATATGACTACTGCAGATGTGAGTGTGACAGCCAAAAATGACAGCAAACCTCTGATTAGTATCTGGGCTCCTTCATGAGGAGGGTGGATGAAGTGTATCGTCTTTTATTTCATCAAATGTGGAATATTGTATTATTTTGTTCATCGTGTAAATTGCACTTTCTTGTTAAATACAGAATTCGTAAGGAGATAGGTCAGTATGTAGCAAAGCTATGATAATAATGATAATAATGTTTATTATTACATGGGTCTAAAACATTCCCATTCTTTAGGAGGGAAGGAGGCAGCAGACCTGCTTGAGAGAGCAGTACACAGGAGCTCTATTCCACTTTGCTCCATTGGCAGATACAGCATGTTGGACATAGCAAAGCTTGTCCTGTAGCAGACTGCTGGTTTGTTGCGCGTGGACTCGGATTGTTCACATGGGTACACAGCCAAACCCCAAAGCTTTCTCATAAAGAGGACCAAGGGAGAGAGTTCAGAAAGTGAAATAAATTGGGCATTAAAGAAATGGTAGCTGCACTGGTCACTGGCCTTACACAGCGGTCTTTGCACAGCAGAAGGAAAACCAAAAAATATTGTAAAATACTAAATTATCAGGAATCCATTAAATATTGTAATCTCAGTATGCTGTAAAATAGATACAACTACATCTACCTGAGCCATCCTTCTTCCCTTATCTGAATATAAACTGCATACATGACTCAGGGCCATATATTATGCAGCAGCCACAGCCTAGCTTCTACTGGTACCATAGTATGACCAACATATGCATTAAGGAAGTATGCAGTTCAGGATTTTACCATCGAAATGTGTCCTATGTGCAAATGAGACAGAGTAAGTCCCAGAGCAGCTGCTGCACTTGCTTTATGTTTTACACAAATATGGGAATCATCACTCAGGTATGGATCATTCCATTAAATTTCCTTCCACAGCAACTAGAGAAGGTTGTTCCACTTGGGCAAGAGTGCGAGGAAAGGTGAGATTCTACATGCTTTAGTAATTTTCAGGGTGATGTAAATACAGTTTTCTTCTACTTAAGCAATTGCTCTGCAAACTATCATAAATAGCCTTCTTTTAGATAGAATGGGTTTCCTGAAAAATCTGTCAGCTTGTCGCTCTAGATGCCTTGCAATTATACCATCATCTTTGGAGACTTTGTTAATAGGTATTGGGGGTGGGGCTTGAAATAGGAGTGGATCATAGGAATGGTTGGCTGGAAGTGACCCTATGATACTGTCCAACCAGCACTCAGTGTAGGATCAGGACTTAGTTATTCCAGAGCTTGTTGACTACTGTGAAAAGTGATTTGCTTGGTTCATGTCGCAAATTAAGTGGGTAGCCATGATGCAACAAAGTTCCTCCTGAGGTTCAGAAGGTTTATGTTATAGAAGGTAACTTTCTTTCCGATATTAATTCTGCTTTGTTCATAATGTTGTAATACTGTAGAATCAGTTAAATGCAATATGATCAAATTGATGTGCTGAACAGTTTGACAGCTGTGGATATTTGCCATGTCATCAATAAAAGCTAGTGCATAAGCTAGTGCAAAAGAAGCTTCATTTTCATCTTCTCTTGTAGATTTCTTTTGTGTTATTCCTGCATGGTTCTGCCCTGGACTCCCAACACTGAGCTGTGTGCAGTTCCACCTTTTACAGTCACTTACACATAGAAAATATTGGTGCAGCCTATGAGGTAGGGCAAGCTACCTCCACTTGCCTCAGCTGACCTATAGCCCAGAAAATGCATTTCCACAGTGAATATTTTCATGTTTTGCCACTGAGGTGTAACAAAACATGTGCAAGAAAACCTTGTTTTACCCTCCTTATGAGTTTTGCAAAATTTGCAAAAGCAGGAGGGTTTGCCCCAGTGTCCTGGACATAGTCCAACTTCGGTAATTACGTCTTGCCGAACTAAATCCTTGTTGCCATTTCATGGTATTCTTCCTGTCCCAGTGAAATCTGGTATGGAGAGTTGCTGTGACAGAGCACATTAAACATCTGCCATGTTTTTGCCCTGAAGTGGCTGCACTTCAATAGCAGATGAAGTGATTTATGATGTATGGCACAGATTTTTATTGCAATGACTTCTGCAGAACTGTAAGAGTTGTTTAGGAGCAGCCTTTCCGAAAAAGTCAGCTCAGTAACTAACTATGGATTTCAAAGACTAATTCTAGGTTTGTCTTTCAGGCAGTCTTTTCCAAATCTATTTTTTCTTTTATCAGGAGTTACCAAGAAGTGTCAGATTCACATAATCAGCTGTATTTATGAGATAATAACCTTCACTTTGCCCATTAATCCCCTCCAGAAACACAACTCACGTTCCAAAGCTCTGAGCAACTTCAGCCATCAGTGAGTAAGAACAACACATATTCACCTGCTAAATAAATATTTTCCTCATCTTTGTAGAAACGTGAAATTTCTTCCTTGAAATTACACTGGCAAGAGACCAAACACGGTAGTTTACCCTGGATCACTGACAGGCCAAGATAACCTCACTATTAGAAAGGCCTATGCTAAACAAGAGTTTTTCAGCACTGGCTGGGGACCTCTAGTGGTCTGGAAAACATCAAAAAATGATCCCTGCAAAAATTTTATGAGTTTTGTAAATTAAAAAAAAAATAAAGGCATGCATTCTCACACAATAGTAGCAAGGATGCAAAACAGAGAAAATAAAAATACATGTAGGTGCAAAAATCAGGCCAGCGAGATTAGCTGCTGCAAATGAAACCACTGTGGCAGTAATTATATAGTTAGCCTGTAGATTCTTTTTCCAGAAAAGTTAGGGAGTCGTTGTCTGGAAATAAAAACTGAAAAACACTCATATGTTCTCACTGGAAATGAAAAATTCCAGGATCCTGATGGTGTATAGCACTTGCATCCAGTTTTAAAGAGTCGAGCAAGTTTTCCCTTTAAAATTCTAACATTATATTGAGTCTAAAAATTGTTTAATTATCATAGAATCATATAATCCTTAAGGTTGGAAGGGACCTCTAGAGGTCATCTAATCCAACCCCCTTGCCCATACAGGGTCACCTAGAGCATGTGGCACAGGGCTGCATCCAAGTGGGTTTTGAAGATCTCCGGAGAAGGAGAATCTATGTTTCTGGGCAGCCTGTTCCAGTGCTCTGTATTCCTCACTGTCAAGAAATTTCTGCCAAGTTCCTCTGGAATTTTTTGTGCTTCAGTTTGTAGCCATTTCCTCTAGTTCTATCAGTGGCTACCACTGAAAAGAGGCCGGCCCCCTCCTCCTCACTGCATCCCTTGAAGTATTTATAGATACTGATCAGGTGCCCCCTCAGCCTTCTCTTCTCCAGGCTGAACAGGCCCAGCTCCCTCAGCCTTTGCTCATAGGACAGATGTTCCAGGCCCCTGATCATCCTCGGAGCCCTGCGCTGGACTCTCTCCAGCAGCTCCACATCCCTCTTGTATTGGAGAGCCCACAACTGGACACAGTACTCCAGATGTGGCCTCACCAGGGCTGGCTGTGTATAGGGGGACGATCACCTCCCTCGACCTGCTGGAGACGCTCTTCTTAATGCACCCCAGTATCCCATTGGCCTTCTTGGCCACCAGGACGCACTGCTGCCTCATGGTCATCTTGTCATCCACCACGATGCCTAGGTCTCCCTTGACAGATCTGCTCTCCAGAAGGTCGGTCCCCAGCCTGTCCTGGTGTCTGGGGTTATTCCTCCCCAAGTGCAGGACCCTTCAGTTGCCCTTGTTGAACTTCATGAGGTTTCTCACTGCCTAGTTGTCCAGTCTGTCCATGTCCCTCTGGATGGCGGTGCAGCCCTCAGGGCTATCAGCTACTCCACCCAGTTTGATATCATCAGCAAACTTGCTGAGGGAGCACTCCATGCTCCATCCAGGTCATTGATGAATAAGTTGAACATTGATTATTCATTGATGAATAAGTTGAACAGGACCAGACCGAGGACCGACCCCTGGGGGACGCCGCTAACTACAGGCCTCCAACTGGACTCAGAGACACTGATCACCACCCTCTGAGCTCTGCTGTGCAGCCAGTTCTCAATCCAACTTCACTGTCGACTCATCTGTCCCACATCTTCACAGGTTGCCCAGAAGGATGCTGTGAGGGATGGTGTCAAAAGCTTTTCTGAAGTTCAGATAGATAACATCCACCACTATCCCTATATCGTATTTGTCTTTGGATCTGGATGTATGGAATGAAGTATGGGATGAACACAATCTTTTTCAAACTGTGGCATGAAACTTCAATAATTGTTTTGAAACATCTGCATCCTGATAGAGACCATCTGTATCTCTTACTTCCAATAGGTGTTCGTAAACGTGTCTATATATATATGTGTTTACATGTGTATGTCTATACGCATATCCGTTTTCCCTGACATGACACACAGAGTGTCCCAAATACACATTAATGAAATGTTAATACCCACGAATGACCAACATTTCTGATCTAGGCAAAAAGAAATGGCATCAGGTTCTTTGGGCTCCTCAGCCTGGTAAATGAAGCACAGCCTAGCTGAGCAAGCTTTAGCATGGAGCTATGACGATCTGCAGCTCCCCTCTCTGTGAACACACCTTCTACTGAGATATGGCAAAATTTGACTTAAAAGGCAGCCAAGCAGTAGAGTGCATTTCTTTACTTAGATTAAAAGCATTGTTTAAATTCTTGTGGTTAGACAATTTGTCTTGTCCTTTAAAAAAAAAAAAAAAGAAAGAATGAAACTATATTAAACAGTGAAAAGGCTGGGCCAGGTCTGAGAGACTATGGGGATTTTTAGCCTTCCTGTTGCAAATCAAGATCAGCCTTTTTACCTTTCCATAGTCTCTCTCCCTTTGTTATTTGTGGTTACCACAAAATCTTATTCTACGAGTTTCTCAGATGCCAGAAATAGATAATGGCTCTGGAAAACAGTGCCACAGTCTGGATAAATGTAGCCATACAAAGAATAGTTTATGTTTTACCACTTCCCGTTCAGCAAGACTCCAGGAAAAAAATACATATATAGTATATATTTACATAATTTACCCATGTATATATACACACACATACACACATCATGTACATGTTTATTTATATATTTGTATCTTATATTTTTATTACTTGTTATGAGGCAGTCCCATTTCCAAGAAGAACAAGAACAGCAGATGGATAAGGCATAACATTTACATTGCCGTTTGTTAATAAGGAGGTGACGCAAAGCTCTTCTTGACAGAAGGACCATATCAAGAATGCATCACACACTCCTTTGGGACTGTGAAGCATCAGGTGGGCATTGGGCACAAAATGTGATTCAGGAAACACCAAGTAGCACAGAATTTTCTCACAGCTACTGCCGATTCTTCTTACCCCATCCCAAGCACAGGCCAAGCTCAGTAGAGAGGATTGTGAAGATTATTTGCAATATTTAGGCTCACACCGTGTACTGTGTGCACCTTACCTTACTACAGGCTGTCTGTAAAAAGTAAAGAATTACATAAAAACCCTGGACTGAGGAGAGTGCAGAATTGGGATATTTACACATCAACTGTCTAGCCTACTTCCTTCCTAATGGTATGTGGCCCTCTTCCTAACAGTGAAACCACAGAAGAAAACACATTAAACACCTCTGGAACAAGTTCTAAAGAAATCATATATCGAGGACATAATTTTCAGCTAACAAAGAAAGAGGTACATTGTTGGCATGTCACAGGAAAATGGCACATGGGAGAAATACAAATTCTTCATGACTTTAGGATAAATTTTTGCCCATTTGTGCCCAGAACCTGCCTTCTGAAACCAGAAGATGAGAAAACGGTGGTTTTTTTTTTTTTTTTTTTTTTTTAAGATCTCTTGCCTCCATATGATTCATTCCTGGGTTTCAGACTCCTCCCGAAAGTGCTTTCCTCATTTCAGGGCAAATTCCTTTATCTCTCATGTAACCATGATGAGATTTTGCAGGCCAAACCCTTGTATCTAAAGAAGCAGAGAGCCCTTCCCCTAGGTCAAGGACTATTCAGGGTGCTGGATGTAGGCTACATGAAGGAGAAGTCATCAGGAAATCTCCATGGACATGGATCTA